TGAGACAGGAGAATTGCCTGAACCCAGGAGGCGGAGGTTGCGGTGAGCCGAGATCGCGCCACTGCACTCCAGCCTGGGCAACAAGAGCGAAACTCCGTCTCAAAAAAAAAAATACAAAATAAGCCAGGAGTGGCAACGTGCCTCTGATCCCAGCTATGGCTTGAATCCAGGGGGTGGAGGTTGCAGGGAGCCAACATCACGTCACTGCACTCCAGCCTGGGTGACAGAGCAAGACCCCCTCTCAAAAACAAAAACAAAAACAAAAACGTGGGGGAGAAGAGTAAAAGAAGCCGTGAGAGTTCCTGTCATTCTCTTTTAGGTGTACTGTCTCTACTAGAAAAGAAATGCAGTCAGTATGCACACAACTGAAGGGGTTTCAGAAGCATTCAACCCAAGACGAACTCCAGACCTTGAATCTATCAAGAGTGACAGGGGCATGCCCAGGTCCTTCAGGGCCCAGCCACACCTCTGCTTCTGCGGCCAGCGCAGGACTCCCCAGCAGCATTCAGCAGCCCCCAGGCCCATGCAGGACTCCTATGTGCAGCACATACACTGTGAAAGCAGACACCGCGACACCTGCCTGCGGCCTACCTGGATCCACTGCTCTCGGTTGATCTCCACCCCGTTGGCCCGCAGCGAGGTGATGGCTCGGTCGACGATCTTCTCCACCATCTGCGTGTTCCCATTGGCTTCCTCCAGCTTAGCAGCCGTGATCCAGATATGTCGGTCTGTAGGGATGTTCTCCCTCGCTTTGTTCAAGACCTTGCGGGCATTTTCATAGGTCTCTAGTCTTGCCAGAGCAAGCCAGAGCTACACGGAGAGGACACCAGAAAAAGGAGAGGACACAGTGCTGCAGGGACAGCTGCAGGCCAGACGGCGACCCACCCTCAACAGGCCCCCAGTGTGGCCACCATGTTCTTCCTTAGCTCTCGAGAACCATTTGAACATAGCCTGAGAAGTGTTCACAGCAACATTTCTCTACTGATCACTTATGCTTCTGACCTACTTAGTGACTACTGAGCATGAAAAGTTGGTGAGCGTGAAAAGACTCTCAGCTGAATGTTCACAAACACTGCCTCCAGGCACACAGCGCACCAGACCTGATACCAGGGCCCTGGCACAGATAAGCAGGACGAGGCTACTGCCCTCATGGGCTGAACACACAGAAGGGCGTTCAGCCTCCTGGAGTTCCCAGACCCTAGCAATGTTGACTCTGCAACATTCCATCCCTAAAATGTGTACAGGCTTTATTTATTTTTATGTAAATAAAATAAGATTAATTTTGTTTGGAGAATTTCACAACATCCCTTAAGATAATTAAAGACATACTGGGTATCATAAAACCAAGACTAAAGATCACTGCACAGAATGTTGTAAACTGGAATGCTTAAAACCAAAGAAATCCCACTAGCTTTGAGGCAAAGAGCAGACACGTGGGGCTGGCAGAAAGCAATGTTTTCTATATCCCTGCCACCTTCAGCTCCCGTGACAAGCTCTGGGCTGAACGAGAAGAATGGCCCCTGAGAGTGCCCGGCAGAGCATTTTCTACAGTCATCACGGATGAGCTAAGATTCTCTCTGCACTTCCATGAAGAGCACAGCCAGCTGAAGCCACTGACCGCCCTGCCTAGCAGCTGCGTACAGAACAGCAAACGGGTTCCACATGGCCTTCTGCTCCCAGAAATCGCAGCCTGAGTGAACTCAGGGCTCTGCTTACAGCGTCACTCCCAGACACTGAACCTGGGCTCATCAGGCCTTGGCCACTTTGGGCTATGGTGGCCCTGAGCCCACCAGACTCACCTCCACACTGGTGGGGCAGCACTCCACAGCTCGGCTCAGCATGATTCTAGCATCTTCGGGCTCTTCCAGCTCAACGGCTGCTTTCCACAAGCGAACCGAGTTTGGAACATGCTCGAGGGCTAGGAAGTCAAATGAGAAACCACGTCACAGAAAAGGAGATACGAGCAGGAGGCTGCTGGTCAGGGTGAGGTGGACTTCCCCAGTGACAGTCAAGAACCACACACCTGCCCTGGACGTGTGTTCCCTCAGGTCTGGGGCAGACACAAACAAGGACAACCACCTCGTGGAAGCAGAAAGCAAGGGGGTGACCGAAGACTGCCGGGGTCACATCAGCAGGACTCACTACACCAGCAACGACGGGAATGAACCTTGAAAACATGCTGAACGAAAGAAACCAGTCCCAAAAGAGTTTCTACTGTATGACTCCCTGCATGTGACTTTTGAAAACAGGCAAAACTAACCTTGATGCAATAAGTCAGAAGCATGACTGCCAACGAATGTGGATGTGTGCATTGAGAGCCACCAGGGGACTTTCTGGGGGGACAGAAATGTTTTTTTGTTTTTTGTTTTGAGACAGAGTCTCACTCTGTTGCCCGGGCTGGAGTGCAATGGTGCGATTTCAGCTCACTAAAACCTCTGCTTCCTGGGTTCAAGTGATTCTCCTGCCTCAACCTCCCAAGTAGCTGGGACTACAGGTGCCTACAACCACACCTGGCTAATTTTTGTATTTTTAGTAGGGACGAGGTTTCACCACATTGGTCAGGCCGGTCTCAAACTCCTGACCTCAAGTGATCCACCCACCTCGGCCTCCCAAAGCGCTGGGAGTACGGACATAAGCCACAGCGCCTGCCCTGGAAATGTTCTATGCCTTGGTCAAGTGTGGGTTACACGGGTGCACATATGAAGACATCAAACTGTACACTTAAGATCTACATAATTTACTTAAGATATTTAGGGAAAAAAAAGCCAGTGACTGAAATACCTCATTATTACATGTTTTCCCTTAAAATAAAACTATGTAAAACTTAAAAAAAGAAAGAAAATTCAAGAGCTGGCCGGGCGCGGTGGCTCAAGCCTGTAATCCCAGCACTTTGGGAGGCCGAGGCGGGTGGATCACGAGGTCAAGAGATCGAGACCATCCTGGTCAACATGGTGAAACCCCGTCTCTATTAAAAATACAAAAAATTAGCTGGGCATGGTGGTGCGTGCCTGTAATCCCAGCTACTCAGGAAGCTGAGGCAGGAGAATTGCCTGAACCCAGGAGACGGAGGTTGCGGTGAGCCGAGATCGCGCCATTGCACTCCAGCCTGGGTAACATGCGTGAAACTCCGTCTCAAAAAAAAAAAAAAAAAAAAAAAAAAAAAAAAAAAAAAA